AATGTTTGTATCACAGGGAAAACATTGGATCCATTTGTTGTTAGTGGTTACTGTTAAGGTGTGATACTATGATAACTAAACTAACATGAAAGGAGAATTTGCCAACAATTTCATCAACACCTGTTTTATGCAATACCTTTAAAAGCAATACTCCCACTTTAACTTTTGTCTTACTGGTAACACTGCTTAGATATGAAAGGATGAAAGACAAAAAACTAAACATGTGGAGGAAGAATTTGCATATTTACTACAATGACTACAGTAGGGATTATGAAGAGTTATCATGATAGTGAAGATTTCCCAGGTCAGTGTTCGAAGGCTCCCTGGTGTTCAGGAGATTATTATCTACAGACCTTCTTATTGCAGAAAGAAGATGGTAGCACCTTTGGCGGGCTCGTATAGATCAGAAACCTGGACTTTTAGGGCCAGAAGGATCGAGGGAGCTGAATGGCATGGCTGTAACAGGGCGACACACAGGGTCCCTGCAGCGACTGAAATGCTCCTCTGAGGGCGACATCGTCCTCTAGACTCGTTACGACCGTACCACTGACAGGCCCTGGGCTAAGGTACATGTGATATCTTTGCCCTATTTCACAAAATCCCATGTGAGCTTACAATTTTCTCAAAACAAAAAGTTATGTAAGCATTCTCAATTTTTAATTTGTATTTAAACATTAAATCTATCAATTTTTCCCACATCCTTTGGGACCATCTATCACTTGAGAGAAATACCTTCAGGTGATTAAAAAAAAATAAGCATTTGAGAAATCAGTACTAATGGGAAATTCAGAAATATGCTCCAATTCTTAGGTAAGTCCTTCAGGAACCTAGGTTTTGGTATTGCTGTGGTTGCTGTTAGGAACCCGTGAGGTCCTGCTGGGAGTTATAACCAGACCTAATTCCTTCCGGTGAAACAGCTCTGACTCATCTCTGAATTACAAGTGGGTAGAGCAGTGAGGATTTATTCCTCACAGTCCTAAGGGTCACATGCTTGCAGATTCAGACCAGAGAGGGCCGCTGAGGGCCTTACTGCTGAATACCACCACACGAAGAATCAAGTCTCAGCACAGGAATTTATGCAGGGCACACACACTCACCCCACTGCCAGAAGTACTTCACTCCGTCAGAGACTGCAGCTCAGTTCTAAACCACCTTGTTACCTGAGACCTGGTGCCCAGCTATCTGCAGGTGCTAGTGTCCACTGGTGACCAACAGAAGCCAACATAAAAACTCTCTGAAGGAAGATAGTGTCATCCCAGGCTTCAGTGTTTTTCTGTAATTTTGCAAGAGGAAAGACAAGGGTAGTAGTCATGTACCTCACAGCATTTCAGTCAGTGATGGACTGCATATATGATGCTGGCCCCATAAGACTATAATGCTTTGACCTATTCCTGTTACCTAATGATGCAGCCATCTAATGTCACAGTCCACTGTGTTGCTCTTGTGTTTGTGATGGTGCTGTATAAACAAACCACTGCCCTGACAGTCATGGGAAGGTGTAGCACGTACAACCGTGAGCTCTGCACTTGACAAAGGTAATGTGACTGCATTCTATACGTGAAAAGGGAAAACAATAAAACTTCTAGCAGGTGTGTTAAGAGAGTCAGAGTAATTGTGGAAAATTTTTGAAACGGGGCCCCCAAAACACTTCTCACAGGCAACATTTGAACTACATTAAAATTTACAGTTAATGAGTAGACACTGTCAAGAGAGTGAAAAGCCAAGCCAAAGACTTGGGAAAGTCATTCCCAGCACATGCACCTGACAAAGGGCCCCTGCTCCTAAATGAAATCTGCAGCATGGAACTCATAAAACAGTAATCCACATTTCCACTTCCTCCTACATCCTTAGGCACTAAGAGATGATGCAGAAGAATGTTTATACATTGTGATTCACAGCAGCCTTGAACTGAAAAGGGAAGATTCCCGCCAGTAGTGCAATGGAAGAGTACACAGCTGGCTGTGAGTAAAATGCAACTCTGTGCATTACCACCAAGTGTGAACGAACGGGTGAATCTCACCAAAGTGCAGAGTGAAAGAGGCTCATGATAATATTACATAAGAAATGCTACACCCATTTAAGCTCAAAAACAGGTAAATCTAAGAGGATTACTCTTGAAACAAAGGTATGAAGCTTCACTTGTTGGAAAGAAAAGGTCAGTAGGAGGTGAAGAGCAGGTGGTCGTTCTAGCGTTCTAGTGTCTGACAGGGTTCTATTCCTTCACCTGCTTGGATATTTAAACAGGTGCTTAGTTTGTGATACACAGCAGAGCTATAAATCTTTGCTGTGTGCCCTTTCTGTATATACATGTTTTGTTCAACAATAAGTGGGATAAAATGTTTTAAAACACAACTACTCACTCTATCCATTTGAAATATAGTAGTAAGCCAAATTTTCCTTTTCAGCTCCTTGAAAAACACCTGACATCCTCGATTTAATTATTTTCCCAATAATACTTAAATCAGTCCTTTAGTTTCATTAATTTATTCTCACATTCTGGTTCTTACATTACTCTGCATTCATTTAGCAAGAAAAATTAATATTTATTGGGAATCAAATGTGCAAATCTCATTGGGATAAACACCTTATTTAATTTATAGACGGCTCTGTGGCTCTGCATATTTATTTTGGTTTCAGAACTGATTTCAAGTGTACAAGTAGAGAGGAACTAACACTATAACCATTGAAGGTGTCTAATAGTTTGTAAATATGATAAAAACTATTCTTTCATCTACCTAACAGATCTATTCCCACAAGAAGCAGGCTACCTACAGAATATATTGGTACATTAAAGTAAACCTATTTAAATCAATTTTATTACTGATAATCAATATTGGAATTATTATAACTAAGTATGGGTAACATTACACCTTGGGTCAACAAATTGATCTCTCAAATTCCTTTTAAAAATACAGTCTAAGACTTTGATCTCAGAGAACAAACATAAGCAGTTGCTTCTGAAGCACAGTGGAAGGTCAGTTTTAGCTGTAAACAAGTGAGAGGCAGGACTTTGATGGGTGCTGGCGGAAGATGCCGAACTCCTGCGTCCGACAGAGGAGACTCCCTTGAGGGGCACAGCCCGAGGTAGCAACACCAGCGCACTGCAGGGTGCGGACAAGTGTTCTGGATGTCATTTCACCTTAGGGGAGGTCGTGTGTGGACTCCGAGCCTTTTCATGCAAGGAGCGTGGGCGTCTGTGATCTCTCCTCGGGGTCCCAGAGCCTCTCTCCCGTGGGCTCCGAGGGAGGACACACACCTAGGCCACATCTGTTTTCCACTTGCCCAGTTTACAATGTGAATTCCTCAAGCGCAACGACTCTGTGTAATGTATCACCTTATTCTGACCGCACATTGTTTCCTCTGGTTAATAAAATGGTCTGGGCCGATGCACCGGTGAACGCGTGTTAGGGTTTGTATCTGCTGCCCTCTCGGGCTGGGCCCCTTGTGCTCAGAGGTGCCGGGCTTTGGAGCGGGGGCTCCTAGGGACCTCGCGGTCGGAGGTGGGGTCTGGTCGGTGAGGCGCCAGGGGCTGTGGCCTGGAAGGGTGATCTCCCTCTCCTGTCTTCGCTCTCTGGCTTCCCCACGTCGGGGGCAGCTTTCCCTCCACCAGCTGCGTTTTCTTGGGAGCAGACACCGTGGCTTGAAATACGAGCCAGACTAAAGTTCTGCTCCCGCAAGTTCTGGGTGTCAGGTATGCGTTTAAGTAAGGAGGACGGACTAAGATGTCCTCCTCCATCTCCTTCTCTTCCTCTTCTTCTCTCTTCTTTTTTTGTTGTCAACACCATGCCCATGGGACTAACCATGGGCGGGACCCTGCAAAAGTGTGTGCCTGTAATTTGAGGGCTTCAGAGTTCGTCCCAACCTGGAGAAACCCCGTCCTGTCAAGAATCCGGAGCGCTGCCCGCAGACACGGCGGCCAGTGAGTATTAGCATGGAGTTCACCTGAACTCAGGACCTCAGCCTTAACTAAGCCCAGGTTGCTCTGGGCAGCACGCTCGGTATCACACGTCGTGCCTTGGGCACAGAAACCTTTTCCTTACGTCCGCTCACTGGCATCCTAAGCTCCGAGACCGCTGGTGATCCCAGCACAGGCGACCTAGCGGCGGGAGGCCGGGGCCCCTGCACCCCGCCTGTTACCTGCTACGAGTCCGGGCCCACGTCCCTCCCTTTGCCGACAGAGTGGTTACGTCGTCCCCGTTTTCGTTTCCCTCCTGTTCTGTGGACATTTAGCAGAAGAGTTAACGGTCCAGAAACTTCCTCCGAGTCCCCGGGGGCGAATCCGCCGCACCGCGCTAGAGCCGCGCCGATCAGATCGATCACCCCAAGTTCAGGGTCTGGGTTTGCAGCAAGCGCGGCGGCGCGACGCGGGAGCGCACCCCGCCCCCCTCCCCGCTGCCCGCCCCCCGCTCCCCTCCCCTCCGCCCGCCCCCCGCTCACCGCCCCCCTACGGGCCGGGCGGGCGCCGAGTCCTTGCGCAGCGCCCTCGCACCTGCGCCTGGCTGCTCTGCACCCGCGGTCTCCGGCTCGGGCTCCGTGCGCCCCGGGCCGCGGTGACGTCGCCGCGCGGTGGGAGCGGAGCCGCGGGGCGCAGGGGCGCAGGGGCCGCCACCAAGAGGCGCCGCTGCGGGACCCCCGCCCCGCCGCGGGCCCTGCCCTGCTGGCCCGCCGGTCCGAGCCGGAGCCGGGCCAGAGCGGGAGCCCGGGCCGGGCGGAGCTGCGGTGCCGAGCGACCCTCCAGTGCCTCCCGCGCGCCCCGCTTGCCCCAGCCCCGGCTCCTTCCGGCCCCTCCCCTCCGCGGCGCCCGTGAGGACCGAGGCCGGGTGGGCGCCCACGCCCGAGGCCACCGGGCCGGCGCCGCGGTGCAGCCCGGGAGCGCGGCGGGCGCCTCCCTCGCGTGGCGGGGTCCGGGCAGTGCCGCCCGCGGAGACGCCTGAGGAGCGGCCCCTGCGGGCGAGCGCGGCGCGCGTAGCTTCCTCTCGCGCTGCCTCCCGCAGACCGCAGCTCCGAGGCGCCGGCCGCAGCCGCCTCGGTGTCGCCGGTCCCGGGCCCGGCAGGAGCCGCCGGCCGGGCTGAGGGGAGCTTGGGGCCGCCCCGGTGACCCGCGGAAGCGCGAGGAGGACCGGGAGGCGCCGGGGCTCAGGGTCCTCGGAGCGCGAAGGGCGTGGGCGGCGGGGAGGCGAGCTGGGGCCCCATCCGAAGCGCTGGGAAAGCAGGCGCCACAGGGTCCTCGATTGCACGCGAGCGCGAGCGGAGCATTTCCTGTGAAGGAGAGGAAGCCGGCGGAGGCCAGGCCAGGCCAGGTTTGCTGCGGGACGGCGGGCGGGCCGCGGCTGGAGGAAGCAAGGCGCGGCGGCGGAGCGGAACAATGACTCACTTACAAGCTGGCCTCTCGCCCGAGACCCTGGAGAAAGCCCGGCTGGAACTGAACGAGAACCCGGACACACTGCACCAGGACATCCAGGAGGTGAGGGACATGGTCATCACCAGGCCGGACATCGGCTTTCTGCGCACGGACGACGCGTTCATCCTACGCTTTCTGCGGGCCAGGAAGTTTCACCACTTTGAGGCCTTCCGCCTCCTGGCCCAGTACTTCGAGTACCGGCAGCAGAACCTGGACATGTTCAAGAGCTTCAAGGCCACCGACCCCGGCATCAAGCAGGCGCTGAAGGACGGCTTCCCGGGGGGGCTGGCCAACCTGGACCACTACGGCAGGAAGATTCTGGTCCTTTTCGCTGCCAACTGGGACCAGAGCAGGTAAGTGCTCAGCCCGAACCCACCCACCACCTTTGTGTTCACCCATTCCCTGGAGCTCACCCTGGGCAGCTCTGATGGTCTTACCTGGCTGGGGGCAAAGAGAAGCTGGGGTTCAGTAGTGAGTCCTCGGCAGCACCCCGACAAGCACCCTGACGGGAGGAGAGGGCGCAGCTTTCATCTTTGCTCTTGAAACTCTTCCTTCACTGATACCCGGTTTCCATCGCATCTCTCAGTGCTTCCTGAACCATGGTATTATGCCGAGATGTAAATTGCTTAGCTTCTCAATAAAGCTTCCAAATTCTCATCTAATAAGTTTTCTGGTCTGGGGAAATGAATGCAGTAGGGAATGGAGACAACTTTTCTTTCTTCCGTTCAGATTCTTACACTAGACTCCTCCTCCTCTTGGTTTAGAACCGATTTTCTGTCTCCTGAGAAAACCCCCCCGGGGGGGGGTGTTCAAACACAAGCAGGTAGTTTTGTTGTGTGGAACTTTTGTGCTTGGTGACATCTCGATAAAGGCGTAGTGTGATGTGTGTCACTTCAATGAAAAGGAAGAGCCATCCCCTCTGTCACAGAGCATGCCTAGCGACACTGAAATAAAGGCGGACTGGTGAGCTTGTTGTACACCTGTCACCAGTGTGAGGAGTGTGTTTCCTGCCTGCTGTGTTGCTTCATCTTGAGGAAGTTGGAAAGGCTCGGATGTACCAGCAGGTAGGCTCTTTCAGCTCTTTCAGCTGCTGTTTAGTAGAGGGGAAGTCACATTCTCTCTTCATCTACATTGTTATAGAAAAACCTAGACCTGACTCTTCTGACTCTTCAATCAGAATCCTTTTCTCAGGCTGAAAGATACAAGAAATTATAGAGAGCTCCTGGGTAAGATAGCTTCAATTAAATCCAAAGTTAAACGCATATCATGGGACCTAAAAATATTACCAGAGCGAAGAATAACAAAAAACTGTTTCTTAAAACATTGGTATATTTTTAGTTCTGTGAATGATAACTGTGGATGCAGCTGGCTAGTTTTCTGCAGCAATTGCAGACGACTTTTACAGTTACTGAGAGATTTTACAGATCTTTCATTGTTTCTAGGTAGGGCTCTGAGTTTCTTGGGATGTTAGAATCCAAATTAACATTCTTAAATATTTCCCCCTGTAACTGACCACTTTCCCCTATAATTATAAGTTGAAAGCTCTTCTGATTTTTTTAGGTAAGCATGAAAACAAACCACTACCTGAAAAATCATAAAGCCTTCAAAAAACTTAGAGAATTAACCATTAGAAGGGAATGGAGTTTCCTTACTTTGGGTGGTGACAGGGACCTTACACTGCTTTTAATCAGGTACCAAACTTCAAAGAACTCTCCTTAACCACATTGTTTTTTTTAAAAAAGATTTTTAAATCTGAGACATACATTATCCAATTATACAAAATAATGATTGTGCATTAAAATTGAAAACATTTATTTGACGAAGAACCTAATCCTCCTATTTTAGTTATTAGATTGGAGCATTTATTTATTTGAACATAGTGATATGAAAACTGTGGAGATGATATATTTATATATGTCTTGAATTCTATCAGACATATCACGAGAGCAAGATTTTTTTTTTTGAGAGACATTTGGAGAGACTATTTCATTTCTTTCTATAAATGAAGCAACATTCACACTGATTTACAAACCTAATTGAGATGAAAGTTGCTTACAGTTCTCATGTATGTGGGAAGGTAGTTATCCTGGATATACAATAGAAAATGTACTTTAGTTTTCCATGCATTCATATAAACACGTTATTAATAATCGATCCCTCTGCATCATAATGGTAACAGATTTATTAATTGGTATGTGATGTTATTCTTATTAAAACTACACAATTATGAATACAAAAATATTGTACATTTAAAATTAAAAATAACCTGGGACCTATAGAAAAATTCTATCAGAACCTGTAGTCTAATAACTGAATTGTTTCTATGGTTGCAACAGAACAAGTATAAGCAAGAGTTTATAGTACTTCAAGGTGAAAAAAGAATACAAGTATTGTATAGCTTGTCCAAATTTTAGTTTTTTAAAATCCTGTATTCTTAAAAAGAAGTTTCTCCACCTCCCTACCTACCTTCATCCCAAATGGGACATACACCAAATGACAGGGACCAGTGAACGTGTAGTTCTGCCGAGAGATGTGCATAAGCCATGTCTTGATTTCTGTCCTGAAACCAGAAGGACATCTGCTTCTCCATACAGGGCTGCTGTTCTCACCCTGAATCCCATTCTTCTACCGGAAGTCTGACTTGACTCCAGCGGAAGTCTCTGCCGCCTTCGCTTTCCGTTACTGGCCACCTGTGCTCTGCTGTTCCCGTGCAGTGTCTCTTTCTCCCTCCTCATCCTCCTCTGAGCCCGGTCGGGTTCTCGTTCACCTTCTTGCCCTCTTCCTGCCAGGCCCAAACCCCCTGGGTCTCCAGAAAACTGCAGAATTCTGACCACAGTCCTTGAGTCGAACAACTTCCTGGTTTGAAATGCAGTGTTGTTTTCAGGAGACAACAGGTGAGAAGTGTAAGCGATTGCACCGAGAAATTCTAGAAATGAAGTAAGAGAAAACGCTCCGCCCCCCACCCCCCCGTATTTGGGGGAAAAAGTTATTTCCAACTTTCTAAGTACAAAGGAGAAACAAGATTTTATGAATTTTGAAAACCATTGCAGAGTTAGAAAGGGTTTGCAGGGTGCGCTGCGTCAGGAGGATCCACGGCTCCGTTGGTCCCGTGCTTCGTGGCTTCTAAGTGATAGTGTCCGCTTAGACCTGGCGGAAATCTCCATGTGGCCAGCAGACTTCATCACCTGAGAGGGAGGATACTGCACCATGAAGCTGGAGGGAAAGGGAAGTTTATTAAAGTCTGGAAGGAAAGGAGAGGGCCGTCAGGGCATGAGAACAGGTATTTGAGAAGTTGATATTGGCCCATAGTCATTGGAAGTATTCCTGGGTGAACCAGTGTCACCCGGAACGTGAGGGTGATAGGCAGACTGAGCGTTGCTCTGTAAGTTGTCAGCAGCTAGTGGCATTTTACTTTTATCGAACTCATTAAACTTAGGAACTAATTTTCTGTACTTAAGTACAGCGAACAACATTTACCTGGAATACTGTTAGTGGTCATTGGAAAACAGTTAAGTGTAATGAGCATTAAAAGGATTCCTAATACAGCAGCATTGAGCGAGCCACTGACCATTTCGTGCTGTCTTTGGGGCGTCATAGTGGATGTGGATCATCATTTACAGCGTTGAAGCTCTGGAAAGGGCAGGAAACTGAGGGTCCCACATGGCTGTGATCCTCTGGCTTATCCTGGAATTGGTCTAAAAAACCCACTTTGTCTGTTCTGATTGTGTAGCTTTTTCATGAAAAGGAAAATGTATTTTAGTCTTCAGTTTGGATTTTGACCATGTTTCCCTTTACTAAAATAGTGTGGCCAATGTTTGAAATGAAAGAAGATTGTGATAAGAATAGCTTCTTTTTAGAAAATAGCCAGAGCATATACAGATTTGCTTTAAGGCCAGCTACAAAGGTGTCATTCTCTGCAAATGCAGTGAAATACATAAAATAAAATAAATGATTCAAACAGTCAAGGGCAATTAACCATATAGTTAGCAAGAAACACTCATAGTCATCTTCGAAAAATAAGAAAAAAAGCTTTTTGGCTTGATTTTTAAAAGACTTATTCTTGCAGTTTATTAAAGTATCAAAGTATTTCTCAACTAAAAATCGTTGTGATATATAGTGGTGGAAGGAGTCTTTATATAAAAACTGAAAGCATCACTGTGCTGTGTGTTATGGGTGGATTTTGACTATGTCAAGTCTAGAAATGGCAGGTGAGCAGTCTGGGATTTTTGTCCCAGCAGAGTTTCCATAGTACAGGGAGAATTTTAACAAATACTCTGGAAATTGCAGCTGATGCCAAACTCTATTGATACAGACCATGGAAAAATGGGGAAGGCTAAAGAAGAGTTGTCCTGAGAAACGTTAAGGGGGTACTGTGACACGCCTCTGAACATACAAGATAGTCTCTAAAAACTGGGGCAATTAGGTAGCAATTAGTGAAATAATCCTGAAATAGTAGCAGAAACCAGAGACCTGACCTCCAGTAGGACTTTATTAGCTTTGGCCTGAACCAGGCTATTTCCATTTGTAAATATGGAACTTCATGCAAGGCTGAAGGGAAGCAAATATTTGCGGTTGCCAGAGTGCCTTGATAGGATGCCTCAAAAGATGTGTTTAAAGATATTTTAAGACAAGAGTGGACAGTCAGTACCTTTGCAGGTTATCCTTAGCCAAGTAATATGTTTTATCCATTTTGAGAAAAGATTGAACTCTTTTAATATATATATATCACTGCTATAATGAGCAAGTTTATGAGGAAAAGGATGCCCCTGTATGTTGGTTGCCTATGACATCCAATAACAAACTGGGCAACTAATATTTAATTCAAATTGAATTTTTAAAAAGCTGACTTTAGTTAAGTATTAGCTGTGTACCTAGAAATTTAGCAGGTACTGGAGCAAATAAAGACACATAATGTATACATTATAGTATACAACCTCTCTGGGAAGAAAAAACATGAATATCTAAGGAACTGACTACCAGAGAGCTCACAGACTTGGCACGAAAACACTATTGACAGTACTGAAATTCTGGGGATGGGAAACATGAGCTATGTACGTGGTTCATAGAGAGAGAACATCTCCTTTGTGGATAGCATAACTTCATTTTTTTATTGTTCCATTTCATTTATTCATTCATTCATTCCGAAACACTCCCCCTGTGACCACACAACTAGGGAGAGAATGAGCCACTTCCTCTCACGCATAGACAGGTACCAACCTAGATCGAGGGAAAGAGAGTTGAATATAATTATATCAAAAATTGAGCTCTGATAATTAAAAAAAATCCATCTATGATTTCAAAAATCTTGATTAAACGTGAGAATAAAGATCATTAAGGACAAAAGTTTAAGGTG